CTATAGACCTCTCTTATTTCCAAAACTGCCAACACTCAGATAGGTTCAAAAAAATCAATATGAATAGTATTTATGAGAATCATCCTCAAATATAGAAACAAAATAGGACAATGGAATCACAAAAACATGTATCAAAGTACCCAGTTGCAACCACTCAAACAAATGCTTATAATAAACCTTATTTCGATGTTAGTACAAAAGGAGTTACCTGGTTTTGTCTTCGATTAAAGTGATAGGCAAGAGACCACCGACACCAACCTACACAATGAGCTCGGGCATGAATGGTCAGGTTGGTGGCTCCGTCCTTATATCTAGGGTTAGGGTTAGGATGAGGGTGTATTCATAATTCAAAAGGAACAGATAGATCAGATGTGGGTAAGTGAGAATATGGAAATCAGGTAACTAGTATGGTTATCCGTGATGGCCATGGAACTGGAGAGCATCTAGAGGAGGCATATTTGGCAATTGATGGAGGATCATTTGGGTTATCGATCAAAGCATAGAGACCACAAAATCAGTTTAGGTTTATTAGTGGTGATGGAGTTTACCAAAACCTTAAAAATACGATGAGAGAAAGTCTGATGAGAATGGATTTGGGATTAAGATATGGCTGAACTGACCGGTGCTAGCGGTGGAGTGTGGTTTTAGAGATAAATATACCAGCGACGATGGTTTATTGGTTGTGGTGCAGTGGTTTCTAGAGGCGGAGAAGGAGGAAGAGAGACGGTGATACGGTGGTTTATATATACTAGAGCTAATAATGACAGCAAATGGGCGATACAATGATAGTTTGTTTGGAGATGACTGGTTTGTACCTTTGTGTTATTGACTCTCTATATATAAGGAAGGCAGACCAAAATCACAATATTTTAGGCGAGACCTTGTGATTCTTAGGATTTGACTCCATCAAGGATTAAAGGGTTGGGTCAAAGCCCGATTTGAAGGTATTAGGCGATAAACTGGGGAGATTGTTGGGCGAATAGGGTGTTATTGGGTCAAAACTTTGCATAAAGTGATTGTAAGTATTCCAATTTGGTTTGTACCTCTTAAAATTCAACATTTGGGGGTAAATGATTATTAAGGTATAAAGATATAGAAGAATAATTATGGAATATTCACTAATTATAACTATCTCATGTATATTATGCAAGGTTGTAAAAAACGCTCGACGTTAGCTAGTCGGTGGACTAGGTTCAAGGGATTAATCGGCTAGGCGGAGATTTATCGGGGGATTAATCGGGGACCATTAATTGCTAATTTGTTGAATTTTAAAAAATTAAATATGACTAATATCATATCAAAGTTCGTAAATACCACTAATATGATAACAATATAGGTTAATATGATTAATACAACACTAATCATGCCTCAAATAGTTTCCACTGAAATAAAACTTCTTCAAAATGTTAAAATTTCATCGTTTTATAATGTTTCACTAATTATGTATGCAGGGATTAATAGCTAGGCGCCCTCTAATCGGTCGAGTAGCGCCTAGGGATTAATCAGAGATTAATCGGGACCTAGTCGAGATTTTTACAACAGTGATATTATGATTAAGTATATATACATACGTAGTGCTATTTATAGAAGGAAACACAATGATAGACAATGTATTTAACTATACCATAACCTATCGAAGATATCAAAACAAAGATAATTATTATATATATTAGGTTAAGTATATATAGGGATAATTATAGAAAGAAATTATATCAAATGAAACTATATTACTTCGTCAGTCCACGCGAATATTGGTTAGACATTATGTCGCCATTCCGCAGTATGACTTTGTCAAACATATATATTTAATAAAACTAAATAGTAAATTAATTAACAAAGCAAAATGGTTATGTAGATTAAGATTGGATGATATTCCCAACTTAATCTTGCATACGAAAGATCCCTCTCACTCTAAGATTAGAATTATACTCTTCATGAGCATAGTTCTTGGATAAAAGTATATGTAGTGTATGAATATATCTATAAGATAATTATACAACGGACAAGATTATATTATGCTACATTTGATAGGTTAAAACCTAAAGTGTATGGTAGTATGTGATAAATAATAATTAAAGTACTCAGCTAAATACAATTACATAATAATAATTATAAAATATTAAGATCCTAGGTAGGTCATAAGTACACAATTATATAGGTTAAGATTAGACGATATTCGATTAACCTATATTGAGTATGAAAGTTTACTCATACCTCACCCAACCCTATAGATATGAATACCCTCCTTTTTTTTTTGTAAAATACATTCTTAAGATATGAATACACGAATAATACCAAGGAGGAGAAAGAATCACAGAAGCCATAAATAGTAGGATACTTTTTTTAAAATACTTTTACAACTTAATAAAGTTATCTAAAAAAAGTATTTTAAAAGTATAATATACAAAACCTGTGAACTCACCAACATTACGTTGACCGTTTCCAAAACCACATGTATTCATAGGAAACCATGAGATGGAAGACTGCGCCTTCGAAAGTAGTGGTTGATTGATGAAGCTACCGAAGACTTATTATCATTATAGTTATGCCTACCTGTTAAGACACCTTTTGTATTAGAATTTCTAGTACTTTAGAAGTACGTTCAGATGTAATATTTTTATCTATAATGGAAGTTATACTCATGTTTTTATATTGTTTTGTACTGCTCGATGTATGTTCAATATCTATGATCCAATGTCCTAACGTCGCTTAGCTCGACATTTCCGCCGTTGGCCGCGGGTGTGATAGATTGGTATCATAGCTATTGGCTATAACAAACTAGTACTTCCTTAGGAATTACGACTATAGCCTAGGGGTTTATACTCCGGTTAGGTTTGTACTCAAACCTACAAATAAATGTATTATTATTAATTACATTACTGATAGACTACTGACGTGAGCGGTGTCTAGTTTGAACTGTCGCTTGGGTTGTTTGATTTCAGAACGGCTATATGAATCCAAAATCATATATACAAAGAAATCCAATAAAACATACAAACAAACTTCAGATATAGAGTTATACATAAAATTAGTCCCTCGATGAGAAAATACCTAAATATATACAAAGAAATCTATAGGAATCCAAAATCAAAAGCTTAGGTCAAATACGATATCTGAGATTAGCACAATATGTGGGCCGAATCACAACTAAGCATAACTTGTTCACAATTCACCTATGCTTAATTATGGTTATATCGACATATAACTAATCATGGATATGGGAATTGATAGAGTAAACTCTCGAGAATCCCATAGAACTTAGAACCTAACGATTCAGACCATTACTATCTAGGAAAGATAACACGGTCAATGCATAAGAATGACAAATCTTGGAAACACGGTAACGAAACCATTTCCAGAGAAAGATCAAGTTGTGTTATCCCCTCTTAAGATGAAGGATACCCATTTTACCAAAGTTCCTATACCTCTATTTTAATTAACCCCCAACAAGGAACCCCACAAAAAAGACGATTCTAAGAAACGACTAGAGAGCCAGCCAAATCGTTATAAGTGCCTTCTAAGGACCCTTCAAAGTCCTTTTAGGAGGATGATCCTACTGAGGAGGAGATGAATCCCCCTAAGAAAGGAAGTTGATTTCTCATATTATGAGAATAAGAAGGCCGTAAATCAACATATGATTCGCTACCTATCCTTGTCCCTTGAAACGTCACCTGGTTTCGTCATACATATCCTATCCACTTGTCACACCATAAATAATGAGTTGCGGATCATCAAAATAAGTGCCATAAGCTGGTCTAATATGATCCTAAGGTTAGATAAGGAGCTAAGACTGGATAAAAGGATTGAAGCTCCAAGCACAAGTTACAGAGCAAAAGTCATCGCCGCAAAGGCAAATGTCTGTGCGATAAAGATAAGAACTCGGTCCGCTTAGCAATAGCTCCCTAACCTAGTATGGTAGGCTTCCAAGTTATTCCCTATGTCTACACATTATAAGTATAATGAGAAGTTCGGTTATGCAAGAAAGCAATATCATCGTTATCCCCTTAAGAAATATTCTTTTAAGTACATCGAAGCTTTTCCCTCCTAACATAGAAATTTTTGTGATATTTTTTACACTAACTCATGTGTTTAGTCGTTACTGCTCGTATCTATAAAAAGGCGTCATCGACTAACACTCCCTTTTCTTTTCGCTAACTATAATAGGGTCCAAACATGCCTCAAAGAAGAGTCTCCAGAAGGAACCCGAGGGCACTGCCAAACCTTGACGCAATAGCCATCAAGGCGTTGATCACCCAACGGGTCGCTGAAGCCCTAACTAATAGGAATGTCAAATCCGGACAAGGTAGAGGAACTAGAGGACATAATACATAGGTTGGTAACGAGAGTCACCCAAGAGCATGTAATTATAAGAATTTAGGAACTGCAAGCCCAAACTATTCTTAGTAAATAAAGGAGTAGTAGGACCGACTCGCTGGATCGAGAAATTAGAGTCAATATTTGAGATCAATTTTTGTGTTGAGAATTTTAAAGTTAGGTTTGCTGCATGTACCTTCGAGGAGACAACATTGTCATGGTGGATCGGCCATGTCAAAACCATGGGAGTTAGTGCAGCTAATGCCGTCTCTTGGGATGAACTGAAGCAGCTAATGATTAAAGAGTATTGTCACAGAGAGGAGATACAAAAGCTAGAACAAGAATTCAGGAACCTTACCATGCAAGATGCAGACATTGCAACTTATACCAGTCGTTTCAATGATCTCACCATCTTTTGTCCTAATTTTGTCACCCTGGAATACAAGAAAGTAGAAAGGTACATATGAGGTTTAGTACAACCTATCCAAGGATTAGTTCATTGTGAGTTGTGACCTTATAATGCAATCGCATTCTCTGGTCCAATTGCCGTTTTTGTTTCTGTATTCCTGATTTATCCACTTGGTTAGCTTGGTTGGTTCTTTGCTCCTAGTTTTGGTGTAGCAGCTATATTTCGATTTATCCTCTTTTTTCAAGGATTTCATAACTGGACATTGAACCAATTTCATATGATGGGAGTTGCAGGTGTATTGGGCGTTGCTTTGCTATTCGATATTCATGGTGCTATCGTAGAAAATACTTTATTTGAAGATGGTGATGGGGCAAATACATTCTGTGCTTTTAACCCAACTCAAGCTGAAGAAACTTATTCAATGGTCACTGCTAATCGCTTTTGGTCCCAAATCTTTGGGGTTGCTTTTTCCAATAAACGCTGGTTACATTTCTTTATTTTATTTGTACCAGTAACTGTTTTATGGATGAGTGCTCTTGGAGTAGTCGGTCTGGCCTTGAACCTACGTGCCTATGACTTCGTTTCTCAGGAAATTCGAGCGACAGAAGATCCTGAATTTGAGACTTTCTACATCGGATTTTTTGAGGAACGTATCGAGAGATAATTTGATTTGGTTGGACAATGTGTGGTTGGTAAACAAGGATTGGATTTTTTCGTAAGGTATGGAATGTATCGTCAAATATTCAATATGATTCCACAAGATCTAGTTTCGTTCAAGTAAGGGATTCTAGCCAATTGAAAGGATCTTCTGATCAATCCAGAGATCATTTTGATTCCATTAGTAATAAGCTACTTACGATAGTGCCAAGAGATTGAACTTTACCCTGACCAATCAGATAATCTTCCAGGGAACCATGGTTCTAAAGACTGATCCCCCAGGATCAGAAAATAGCAAGATAAAGCATGATGAGGATTCAGAGCAAGTAGCATGGAAAAAGCAAGACTTAGGGAAATTCTATGTAACTACCATTATGTCACCCACTCCTTTAAGGCAGTATGTAGGAAATCTTCCATTATGTAATAAGTGAAACTACCATCACATGGGTGCATGTAGAGAGCTAATCTGTAATAACTGTAGTAAGAAGGGTCACACAGCTAAGACTTGTAGGAGTCTGACCCTCGCCACTACCCAAGGAATTGGTATTGGCAAGAACCTCAATTGTTATGAATATGGAGAAATGGACCAATTAAAAAGAGAATGCCCAACATTTGAAAATCGAAGGAGTAATTCTCAAGGTAGAGCATTTTTCATCGACTCTAGTGACGATAAACAAAATCCACCTGTAAGAATTGGTAATTCTCTCCTTATAACTCTTGAGAAAATTAGATAATGATATAGTTGTATAAACTTTAGATAAAAACATGTTAAAATATGACTCTAAGAAACACATGTTATTTATTATAGGATGGATACATAGGTTATATGATTTTTAGCATCATGTGACAGGGAGGAATCATACGGTAAAAAAACTATTTAATTTTTAGCATCATGTGATACTATTCACTAGGTAATTATATAACATTAGAAAGAATGACAATGAAAGGTGAAAAAGTCCTTGTAGCAATTCCAGGATCCTTTAAAAATCCTGAAAAAAATTATTAATAAACCTTTCGGTTATTATAGACACTATTAGTCTCAGTAAGTACTTGACTAAGGGATCACTCTCACTCTAAAGTCTCAGTAAGTACTTGACTGATGGATCACTCTCACTTTAAAGTCTTGGTAAGTACTTGACTGAGGGATTACTGTCAGTCTAAAGTCTTAGTAATACTTGACTGATAGATCACTCTTACTCTAAAGTCTCAGTAAGTACTTGACTGAGGGAATCTATAAGTAATTAACTGATGGGTTATAAATCAGAAATATCTTAAAGGTAGGTGATTGTTAAATCAAATATCAATCACGACTATCTTAAATATAGGTGATTGTTAAATAAAATATTAATCATGACAATCTTAAAGATAGGTGATTGTTAACTAAATTATCAATCATGACTATCTTAAAGATAGGTGATTCTTATATAAAGTATTAATCACGACTATCTTAAAGATAGGTGATTGTTAAATAAAATATTAATCACGAATATGGTGATTGTTAAATAAAATATTAGTCACGACTATCTTAAAGATATGTGATTGTTAAATAAAATATTAATCACGACGATCTTAAAGATAGGAGACTGTTTAATGAAATATTAATCACGACTATTTTAAAGATAGGCGATTGCTAAATAAAATATTAGTCACAACTATCTTAATGATATGTAATTGTTTAATAAAAGTATTAATCACGACTATCTTAAAGAAAAAGTTTAATGATAAGTGATTGTTTAAATATTAAGAATTACCATCAATTTTGAACTTTAGATAGTTAATTTACTCCCGTAAATAATAGGGATGATTAATAGTAATTAAAAGTATACTTTCGATATTCTCCTAATAGTGCGTTAAGCACTCCTAGTTGAATTTCAGGGACAAAATTCCTTAAACGTGGGGTGAATATAACAATTGCAACTTTTGGCATAGATCGTTATTTACAAAAATTGAAAATGTCAAGTATAATGGATTTAATATGTAATATGTATCAATATATGATAGAAATATAAGTTTCATATTATGAAAGATACGAAAAATCAACTGAATAGTCCATAAAACATGAAATTAGTGCGACGAAACACACACACACACACACACACACACACACATATATATATATATATATATATATATATATATATATATATATATATATATATATATATATATAGAAAGTACACGTCATCTCGATCCCGGAAATATAAATTTCATAAAAATACAAATTCATATGAAGAAGATATGAATTTTATAAAATATAAAAATCAGCTGCACACAAGGAATGTGTAACGTCAAAAACTATGAAGAGAATAGTTGACTTTTAGCTAAAGTCACCAAAAGGAAAGTTGTAGTAACCGTCGATAACTATGTGTAGATATAAAGAACGTCGAAAACAGAGCTCGTATGAGGAAGTTATAGATATTACAATAGTAAAAAAATTTGCGCACGAGGCGCGCGCAATACACGACATGCACTATATTTTAGAAGGGGGTACGATACACCATCAGATTTTGGACACATGAAAATAGCATGATGAAGCCAAATCGCTTGAGCGTGACACATACCTCCCTTGTGCGACACATATTCCAAGTATAAATAGAGTTGTTGCCCCTCACTTCATTTCTCACCTCAAAACCCCTTCCTTATCTCTCGATTTTCCTAGGCAAACCCTCTGAAAATCTTAGAAAATCGTATTAGTTATATTATTATTATACTCTTGAGTCTATCGATCCAAAGGCTATCTGCGAGGTCCCAATTCCCGAGTCTACCCCATATCAACGTAAATCACGCTTCAAGGGTGAGTTCACCAACCCACTTTTACGGTTTTAAAAGATTTAACCGGGGGTGGGGGGGGGGGATACATGCTTATCAAAATGCTTTATCAAAAAATATTTTTGCAAATATATCAGTAATGTATGTAAAACATGAAACGATAGGATAATATGCCGGTAGAAACTCTGCCTAGTCTAAAGCAATGATATTATGCCTAATAGTTATGAACCTGTTATACTAGGAAAAGATTATACCTAGATGTTATGCTCCGCGATTTCCTAGGATAACGTAGTACCTAGAAGTGCTAGCCAAAATTTAGGATATGCATTGTACTTAGCTGTTACTCTGCCATAAGATCCTGTTGTCCAGATAATCGTAATTGTTGTATATATATGTTAAAAGAATATATATATATATATATATATATATATATATATATATATATATATATATATACATACATACAAGAATTATTATGGAATATTTACTAATTATAATTATCTCACATATATTATGATTAACTATATATACATATGTTGTGATAATTATGGGAGGAAATGTAAGGATAGGCAATTATTAACTGTACCATTACCTATCTAAGGTATCAAAGCAAAGATAATATATATATACATATATATATATATATATATATATATATATATATATATATATATATATATATATATATATATATATATATATAAGTGTAAGTATATATAGGGATAGTTATAGAAATAAATTTTATCTAAGTAAATTATATTACATCGTCACTCCTCGTGAATATTGGTTAGAAATTACGTCGCCATTCCGCTAGTATGACTTTGTCAAAGATATCCATTTAATAAAATTAAATAGTAAATTAATTAACAAAGCAAAATGGTTATGTAGATTAAGGTTGGATCGTATTCCTGAATTAATCTTGCATGCGAAAGATTCCTCTCACTCTAAGATTAGAAGTATACTCTTCATGAGTATACTTCTTGGATAAAAGTATATGTAGTATATGAATATATCTATTAGATAACTATACTTATATTATGCTACATTTGATAGGGTAAAACCTAAAGAGTATAGTAGTATGTGATAAATAATACGTAAAGTACCCAATTAAATATAAGTATATAAATTGTAATTATAAAATATTTTGATATTAGATACGTCGTAAATACATAGTTATATAGGTTAAGATTGCACGATATCTGATTAAGCTATATTGAGTATGAAAGTTTACTCATAAGTCGGCCCTATATATAGGAATACCCTCCCTTTTTGTAAAATACATTCCTAAGATATGAATACACAAATAATACAATAACGCCCTGTTTCAGATCGTTTCCATTTTAGGATGGTGATCAAGGATTGGGTATCAGTAGGCATAGGATCCATAAAGAAGTTAGTCTTGGGCTCATTTAGAGGTGGATGATGTATATTGGAGGATCCGGGTATTCGGTTTGTGTTTTGGAGTTAACGGGTATTTCAGTAATTTTTCAGCTCGGGCTTCTATGGAAATGGATATTTGTTCGGGATATAGTAAGGCGGGTACGAGTTGATTAAATCATAAAGCTTCTCATTACCTTTTCATGAATATATGGATCGTCAGAATCGGATGTGTATCGAAGAAGTTATGACCTTCGGAGTATATTAGGGTTAAAGGGTTAAGCAGTACGTGGGGCGTACATATATATACGCATGGCGTACTAGTTCTAAAGCTGTACGCGGGGCGTACAATAGTGTACACATGGCGTATTGATGCGAAGCAGGATCGCGCCTTCGGGTGTGTACGCGGGGTGTACTATGGTGTACGCGGGGCGTACGTGCATCTTAATGAAAACCCTAATTCTGATGATGTACCCTATATAACCTCACTAAGTCTTTTTGGTTGGTCCTTATACCAGCCTCCAAGTTCCCAAAAACCCTAGAAACTGTCTCTAAGCCTCCATGGTGTAATTTTGAGCTCATGATGTGCATTGTGGTGTTTGTGGGTCATTTCCAAGAAGATGGAGTTGGATGCAAGATTGTGAATCAAGGATGAGCTCATGGATCCGGATTATGTGCTTTATTTCCAGCTTGTTGGAGGTAAAAAGCTTGAATCTTGTTCATTGATGTCTTAGATCTAGCATGTTTGAGTTTTAGTTCATTTTGGTCCCAAGATTGAGATCTAGTGGTTTGGAAACCACTCCAGGAGCTTGAGTTGCCACTCTTGGTGTTCTTTTGGTCCTAGAGTCATAAAGTTGTCAT